CCGCGCAAGCACGGCGTTTGTAGCTGATCACATTGGGGGCCAAACCTGGACAAGCTTAGGGTTCAGAGTTAGGTTTAGGGTTTAGGGTTAGGGTTTAGGGCAACTTCAGATGTTTTGTGTTTAAGGGTCTAGGGCTTTAGGGTTGAGGGCTAGGGTTTGTGGTTCTGGGGTGGGGCCAAACCTGGGCAACTTAGGGGTTTAGGGTTCAAGGATCATAGGGTTATAGGGTTAGGTTTCAGTGTTTGGTTAGGGGGTGGGGTGTTTGGGTTGGGGTTTAGGGTGGGGGTTTGGGGTTTAGGGATATGACATTGTCGGACTTAGGGTTTGCCTATACTCTTGGGCTATTCTTCTGCTAATCAGCTGCTTGCCATGGCGGGTTTAGGGAGTTTTTAGGGGCCTTGGGGGAGTTGAGGGGCTTTAGGGGGGTTTAGGGAGCTTTTTCGGGATTTTGAGGAGTTAGGGTTCTAACCCCCCCGTTGAGACTAAGCTGTGTCCCTTTGCGATCGAGAGGAGAACTTCCCTCCACAACATGCACCCGGTCGAAGACCACACGAAAGCAGCCTATACTTGAGTAACCCTTGAGTCTCAAAGAGTTGCTCTACTAGACCCAAGAGTAGCCTAGAATAATCACACTTACCCTGTGTTGCTTTAAAAAGGGGATTAAAGGGGAACCCACGGATGTGCCAGGCTTCCGAGGCGAGTTACGAGCCCTGAGGGATGGCTTGGAAGTGGCCATGGCCAGCTGCCACTCTTTGCCTCTCAAGGGCTGTTGGGGATTAGGGGTTGGGGGGGTTTAGGGGTTTAAGGGTTTTAGGGTTCAAGGGTTTAGGGGTTGAGGGGTTTCGGGGATTAGGGGGTTTTTGCCTCTCAAATGAGACGGTAACCACGGGATGGACGCATGAACTGAGGTTGAACGTGCGATCGCTCCCTCACTCGCTACATTAAGAATAGTTAGTACTACGAAGAGAACGCAGTGAGCACAATTAATAAGCGAATGAATGAGCGCATTAATTGGACGAACAAGAAGAACGTACCAGAACAACATGAAGCCCGTTAGATGATTGGGGCTCTACC